GAAGATGCTGGGCATGTGTTCTTTGTGTGCCCGGAATATAGTACTCTAGGGGACGGTGAAGAAGAGATATTAAGTCAAATAATTAATCAAGATACTGTTGTTGAAGTGATGTTTACAAGTGAGGCTACATAGAACACCATACACACATTTACTACTGAAGTGTTAATAAATTTCCGATTTTCGGAAATCAGAACAGTTAATGGCAATAAATAAGGGAGATGTATAATTTCAGAGCAAGAATCATAGCATTCTAGATCCTCACCCCATGAAGCGACTTTTTTTTACTTTTTCCGTATATCCAAAACCGCTAAACCTGCCTCATCAAAAGTTTTATCAATTATTCATTTTGTCAATACAAGTAAAATGTTTTTTAAATTATTCAGATCGAGCGCTTCGTTACTTCATGAACTGAATTACCATTTTTGGCACTTGATGTGCCAAAATATATTTTTTTTCACATTTTATTCTGTATTTTCGAAACCGCTAGACCTGCCTTTCCAAAAATGTAATCAATTCTTCATTTCGTCAATACAAGTAATATGTTTTTAAATCATTCAGATGGAGCTCTTCGTTACTTCGGAGAACGGAAAAACGGAATTACCAATTTTGGCACTTTTTGCACGTATCTTGGAAACGGCTGGACCTGTTTTCACCAAATACTATTCAGCACGTCTTTCCATCACATGCAATGAAATGTTTTATGAATTATTCAAATTGGTTAATCGACTGAAGTCGAGGACGAAAAATTGTATCCAAACCAAAATTTTACTCAAATGCTATCTAGCCACGGCTGTTTTCGAGCCTACACGACCGCTTTAAGCACGATAGCTCTCCGGCTTGGCCTTATTGTTGTGCGATTTATTGATCTACGAGACGATGTAGAAGGGATATTGAGTCAAAGAATTACTCTAAATACTGTTGTAAAAGTGATGCTGACAACCGAAACTGCTTGGAACGCCATAGACAGATAAGCGACAGAGGTGCTAATTGATCTGCGTTCTATGGAAAGAGAAAAGGCGAATGGGAATGCATAAATGCATTTCCTTCGCTATACAAAAAACACACACACCATGCATCCAATTTTTGAGGTATGCTGAAGTGTTCAAAAATCTTTGAAACATAAAGATATGCAAAAAAATATTTTAGATTTTTATGCGATTACAATAACTTACCCTACGGGAAGTTAATAAAAAATACTAAAAACAAAATGAAAAAAAAAAAACAATAAAATATAGTAAAATGGAATTATTACTGTTAATTATACTATATTAGGTATTTAGGTGTTTTTCTTTTATGCCTGGTCGGCTGGTTTTCCAGGTATACTTGACTTGCTTATTAGTTAGGATGGATGTTTATTTTGCTCTACGTTTATTTGTTCTAGAATTGTCGGTACGTATGTGTCTTTGTAGATGATCCATGTTGGTGTGAAAGTTATGTGAGCTGATTTTGTGCTATTGACTTTTATCCTCCACAACTAAAACCATTTCTCAGCTATGCTGAGTTGATGCTGAAGACTGCTTGAAGCTGCAGTTGGATCTTTGTTTGCGGCGATAGTGCACCTATCATCAGCAAATGTGACTACACTTGTGTCAGTTAAAGTACGAGGACGGGCAAGGACACTCCCAAGAGACACTTCAGAATTTATTTCTGTGATATTTGAATCAGTATCGGTAGTGCTGATAAAAAATTGTCTATTTTGTAAATAAGATTTTATTAATAGAAATATAGTATATGGCAAACATCTTTAACTTTATACTTTAGGCCTGTATACCGATCTTTGCAAATGCTTGCTTGAGATCAAAAAATGCCCTGGAACAGTAGTCTTTTTTATGTATTATTAATTTTGTTAATAATTCTATAAATTTGCCCAGAGATTGAATGTTTGTCTCGAACTCCAAAGTAATTGGTTCGGAATAAAACTTTATTTTTTAGGATTATTTCAATCTCTTCAAAGATTAGCTTTTCAAATATTTTGGATATGCAAGACAATAAACTAATCGGCCTGTAGGGAGATAATAGATGAGGGTCTTTCCCTGATTTCACTATAAGGATCATTTTTGCTCTTTTCCAAGACAGTGGAAAAGTTTTAATTTTCAGTATAGAATTGTTCATTATTGTGAGCAATCTAATAGCTTTACCTGGAAGTTCTTTTACTATTTTAATAAATATCCTGTCTGGCCCAGGTGATTTTCTATAATTTGCTTTTGCAATTTCTTTATTACTTCAGCCGGTGTAAAACGATTAACATTATGAGTCATTAACTTCGTCGAGTCCTGAAAAACAAATCATAAACGAATTGTTTATCATTGGAGTTGCAATTACGTGCAAATGGCTGAAATGTGAGGCACAGGTGTTCTGTGAATGCATCAGTTTTTTCTTTTAGACTTCTTGCCCACAAACCGTCTGTTTTTCTGAATGGATGAATAGATACAATTGGTCTTTTTAACATTTTGGTCACTGTCCAAAGAGAATAATAATTAGAAAATAATGATGCAGAGAATAGTTAGCTAGAGAATAATAAGAAATTTTTCAGGTTTCAGCACACACTGTTAAATTTTCTTTTATCATCAGATAATTTAGTTATTTGCCAAATTATTCTTATCTTCCTTTTCTGCGCAATGATTTTTTAATATCTATGGGCACAGAGTTTGAATATGATTTAGAATAACAGTTGATATTTTAGCTGCTGTAATTAGTTTATTTGTAAAGTTGTTGATACCGATATTTAAATCATTCTCACTTTTTAGTGTAACATTGCAGTTGATGTCGTTTTCGGTGTATTCTTGGAAAATCGGTAAATCTGTTTGTAAGCAAACTCATAACTTTGGTTGGAGTATGTGTGGAGTATTTAAGAATTACTGGTGAATGATCAAAACTGAGTAATTGAATTTATTTCAATATAATTGTTGTTATCAATATTGACTATCAAGTCGAGGAAGTCTGGAATTTTGTTCAAATCAGTCGGCCAGAATGTGGACTCAGCCATAATAAATGTCCGGAAACTATTGGCACGATTATATATATCATGTACGTAGTTTTTAAAATTATTTAATAATTTAAATTTTTTGTAACATTTTTTACAGAGAAAGGTTTTGTAGATTGCTCACTTAATTTTTTACAAACTGTAAAGCTCTTCTACATAGTTTGGCCGATCTTATCACAAGCCTAATCGCGATGCCTCCTAAACGAATTTATGCGAATGCCTTTAAAATATGTGAAATTTAAATTTAGAATTACCACAAGACAAAAACGACTTTTGGCACAAATTTTGACTATTATATATTTACAAACTGTGATTAATTTTTTAAATTGTTCTTAAATTTGTCCCGCACGATTCTCAAATAACATTTTTTTATAATTTTTAAAATTAATTTAAAATGTGTGGCTAAAATGTGGACAAAAAATTTTTTTTTTTCTACAAAAAAGTGGCTTGGCCAATAATCGCACGTACCTAAGGAACAATGGTGTAACTCAATTTTTTTTTAAATTTTTGAAATAGATTTAGCAGTTTTTGAGAAAACGTAGATGTAAAGTGTTATTTTAATAAACGACACAAATAATATGGTATTTTTTTTTAAATTGGATAAATGTTTAAAATTAAAAGACCTTTTGTAAGGCCGTAATATTTAAGTATGTTCTACAAGACCATATCTATCGCCAGAAAAAGTTCGAAAGTTAAATGAAATGTTAGCCGTAATAAAATATTTGAGAAAAATTAAATGCTTTTAAATAGGATGTTATACATAATGTTACTTTCATCATTCGTATTTTATACGAAACTACCAAGCCCTGCAAACCCCGTTTCGCCACCAGATGGTTTCGTGAGAAATATAGAGAATTTTGTTTTGTTTTATATTTGAAACGGAAAAAAATTATTTCATTACACAACAGTAATGATTTTATTTCGATTACAAAAATGAAGTGTTTTTTAGTTGAAACTCTAAGTAAATGAAAGTGAATCCAATGTAAATACTGAATCGAAGAGTTTTACGTGTCTGTAAATTATCCGTTTCATTGAAGTGCTCTTTGGTAAACGATATTTTTTGTTTTTTGGTCTGACGTTAACACAAACAAAGCGCACGGTTTCCCAACTCGTGAACACGCAACGTGTAACTACCCATGTGAAAAACAATGATTTTCTAAATTTATCCCGCAAACACTAAGCGATTGGCCTTGCGACTTGTTAATTGTCATTGCGGAAGATCAGTCGGAATCATTGGTATTCGAGGAATACATACATTTACATTTCCGTTAATAATGGATGCCTGAATCAAATTCGGCATAAGTCTTTATACCAAAAGTCGAAATCCGTTGCAAAGTTGCGGTTGCATCAAAATTGGTTCGTTCGTTCTGGAGTTATATCGTCAGGAAGGAAAACCTGACTTATTTTTATATAATAGAATATAAAGGTTTATGAATTCGATGACGACGTTTATATATGTTTACATGAAAAGTAAAAAGTGAAAATGTAAATAATTCAAACAGAGTTATAATAGAAAGACCTTACCTTATATTTCAATAAATTATATAATTTTATTTCAAGTATTTGAGTGTGCTTTAGAATTATACCTAGAATTAAAATTAAAATTTGCTGTATATTTTCGATAATAAAAAAAATTAAATTTTAAAATAGAAAAAAATGCCTTTTACAAGAACTAGTCGTTTATCTACAAGCAAAATTAATAAATTAATCAAATTGGATGCTTCGTTTTCAAAAGCCGTATTTCTATGGCAGAAGCTGTCTTTGCCAAAAACTAATCACTGAGTGTTTTTGAATCGTTCAAAATTTGTATGGTCTGTCCTCTCAAAAACTTAATTTCTATGTTCGGTACTCTTTTCTTCTTATCTCATAAACGGCTGGACCGATTTTTGTTAAAAATCAATAGAATATCCTTGCCCAAAACATAAAAATATTTCAAAAAATTATTTTTGATTTTTGGATGATTACTCATGCTTACTTGCGCGAAAATATCATATAATATATGTATTATTATTTGCAGAAACATTGCAATTATACAGATGGAGTACGACATCGATCAAAAAGATAAACATGCGATATTTTGCAAACAACCCCAAGGTATAAGTGAATTACATTTTAATGCTCTAAAATGCAGCAAAACTGAAAATGATATACGAAGAACAGTTGATGAACAAAATCCAAGGTAATTCATAAATTTATTAATTTTATAAATACTTTATAATTATTTAATTGAAATTATATTTGTATTGAAGATATACCTGTAAATCTTCCTATAATCTATCCTTTAAGTCTATATCTACAATTCATGTATTTCAAATTATTATTATATTTTCTGCCTTTCATTATTCATTTCTACACTATACTATTTTCTCTGAACTTCAAGCACAATAGTTTGTGTCATTGGAAAAACTAGAACATTTGCTGGTTTTGAGTTGAAAGTGGACTTGGACCACATTAATACTAAATAGAACTAGGGGTGTATGGCATCGTGCCTTAAGGCAAATTGCTGGAACTTCCCGTACAATAACAAAACGTTCGCGGAATATTAAATCTACTCAAATAGGTTAATATAAATACTGTAACATAATTTAATATTTATAAGAATTATATGAACTGAATCACAAAGTAAAAAATAATTATTTAAAGTAAATAAGTGAGCTTTAAAACTTTAGCCAGGATTAAAATTAAAATTATTTTCGATGCACAAAAGATGATTTTATTTCCAAAAGCAATTGTTTTGTCAACACAAGCAGAAAGTTTTTTGAATCATTCAATTCGGATGCATATTTCTCTCAAACACTGCCTTTTTTGTTTATTTAGCTCTGTATCTTTGAAATGGCTGGGCTTGCCTTTGTCAAAAACGAATAAACAATTCTCGCAATCATAACTAATTGGATGAGTTTTAGATCATTCGAATCGGATGCTTTGTTCTCTCAAAAACTCGATTTCTATTTTCTGCACCTTTTGCTCTTTATCTCCGTAACGGCTGGACCTGCCTTTGCCGAAAACTAATCAGCACACTTCCCTACCTATAGGAATGGAATATTTTTTGAATCATTTGAATCGGTTGATCTGTGCGCCCAAAAACGTGAACGAAAAAATGCGGACACAAAACACACAAACATCATTTTTTTCTGAGGTATGCTAAAATGTTCAAAAACCTTCAAAACGTGGAAAATGCAAAAATGTTTATTTTAGATTTTTAGCCCATTACTACCCTATGGAAAGTTAATAATACCACATTTGTACTAATTTGTTTTAATATACATAATGATATTAAGTGAAAATTGCCTTTTGAAGATACTGCTGTAAGAATGATGAAAAGTAAAAAGTACCATTCAAGTATTAGAAGGCCTTTCCATAAATGTTTCTTATTTTCAATTTCGCAATTAACCATCCGTCGGTCGAATATTTTTTCACCTTCGAACGGTCGGAAAGGTCTGGCTGGACCACCATTCATTTTACATGCATTTATATGGGATAAATGAGTTTTTGATGTCTTATGTATTAACGATTATATGAAAAAATCAAGAAATATAAAAATCGTTGCTTTTTTTGTCGTTGAAAAACAATATTTATTCTTTTTCGGCGCCTTTGAAATGAATGTGTGCATTACTCATCCGATTTTCAGTGTTTGCGATTACCAATAAGTTTGGTAGGTTTTCAAGGAACTCTCGTCATGAAAATACTAACATTCATGTTAGAACTCATAGCAAAGAATATAAACAACGCAGTTTGAATAGAAAATACCATGAAAAAAGACAAAATACTGGTTTACATATATCAAAAAGCGTATATTTCATACAAAATGTATGGGTGGTCTGGACAGACCTTTCCGACCGTTCGAAGTATATAAAAGTTAATATCCTTATAATTATCCTTCTGTACATTTTTTCGTCCTGATTTTTTCATTGATCGACAGCTAATGAAATTTTAGGAAAAGTCAAGAAATTTCAAGTCGATAGGATTACTAGAAGTATTTTTTATTTTTAATTGAAGTCGAAAAAAGTCTGGCCAGACCACGCCGACCGACGGAGGGTTAAGTATTAAAACGTTGTTATTAATATTTCAATTTAATTTCGGCGGGTTTCGCTAATGAGGCAGGTTTAATTTTAAAAATCAATATTTAACAAATGAATAATATTTATTATAGACATTAATACTTTAATGAAAAATTAATTCGCCCCATACTGCGGCCCCAAACGTTTTTTTTTTCTTTTTTTTTATTAATTAATAAACAGCAATCAAAATACATAAAATTTTATAAGCTATTCTGCTATGGTTTAACAACAAAATATATATATATATATATATATATATATATATATATGTATATAATGAATGAAACAATAATATAAATAATAATGATAATAATAATGATAACAGTAATAATAATAATAATAATAATAATAATAATAATAATAATGATAATAATAATAATGATAATGATAATGACAAAAATAATATTAATAATAATAATGATAATGATAATGATAATGATAATAATAATAATAATAATAATAGTAATAATAGTAATAGTAATAATAATAATAATAATAAAATAATAGTATCAGGATCACTCCATTGAGTGACCACTTAAAGATAATAAATCTACTCGAGTAGATCTATGGGCCAGTTTCTTTTAAGTCTTCTCCTTGTTGGCGCATGTAGAAGCGGTTGCAATAGTCTATTAGAGTGGTTTTCAATTTTGTGGTTATGAGTGATGCTTTTGTCCTTGATAACATCTTTAATATAAGGTATGTTCAGATCGTTGTGAATAGTATAGTTCGATACATACCATGGAGCATTACATATTTCACGAAGAGTCTTGGACTAAATTCTTTGCATCATGACAATGTTAGATTTACTGACACATCCCCATAGTTCAATGCCATAGGTCCAAATTGGCTTAATAATGGTTTTATATATTAAAACCTTATTATCCAGTGATAGTACAGAGTTTCTTCCTATGAGCCAAAATAAATCTTTAATTTTTAGTTTAATTTGTTGTATTTTAGTTTTTATGTGATGTTTCCATGTCAGTCTTTGATCTAAGTGCATGCCTAAGTATCTAACTGTGTTATTTTGTGGCAGCTGCACTCCATTCAATGATACAGGTGGGCAGGTTTCTTTCCGTATGGTAAAAGCAATGTGGTGAGATTTTGTGGAATTTATTTTTATTTTCCAGTTATTTACCCATTCTTCAATTTGATTTAGGTGCTGTTGAAGCTTCAAAGACGCAATGTTTGGATTATCATCAACTGCAAGAACAGCAATGTCATCTACAAATGTGGCAGTTGTTGTTTGCCACATGGTCGGAAAATCATATGTGAATAGCAAATAAAGAAATGGTCCCAACACGCTTCCCTGTGGTACCCCAGCCTTCATAATTTTTGGTTCTGTGTAATCACTACCTATTTTTATTTAAAACTCCCTATTCTTTAAGTACGATTCAAAAAACTTATAATATAACGGAATTAGTGCTTTAATTTTGTGAAGAAGTCCTTCATGCCATACCTTGTCAAATGCTTGACTTATGTCAAGAAAGGCGGCTGAACAATATTTTTTCTTCTCAAAAGTCTTGGTAGTTGAATCCACTAGTCTGTGACATTGTTGTATAGTAGAATGTCCTTTTCTGAAACCAAACTGATGATCTGGCAGCAGACTGACTTCTTTGTTTATATCTTCCAGAATATTTTTTTCAAAAATCTCGGACAAAATTGGTAGGAGACTAATAGGCATATAAGATCGTACTAAATGTAAATCTTTTCCTGGTTTAGGAACCATTATGATAGACGCTAACTTGGAGGTTGAGGGCCAGTAATCCATCCTTAAAATTGCATTAAAGATATATGTAATAAAAATTACACCCTTTCTTGGAAGTTCTTTAAGCATTCATCCGGACCTGGAGATTTCTTTATTTTTGTTCTCTGAATTTCATTGAATATTCTTTTAACTGTAAAGAATTTCGTTTTGTTAGCTGTAAAATCTTGTCCGTTGTTTGTGGAAAACTGAGAGCTATGATTTGAAGATGAAATATTCGGTGTAAAAACTGAGCTTAAGTATTCTGCGAATAATATGGATTTTTCTGAGTCACTTCTCGCCCAACAAGTTGAAGAACTGCTTTCCCGAATTGGTGATTTATTCATGATAGGTTTTTTCTTGTTGGCAATAGGCTTTCATACAGAGTTATCAAATCTGTTGAGTTTTTTCAAATAATTATTGAAGCTATTCTTATTCCATTGTTTAATTTTGACTTTTAATTTATTACTTAATTCATTATGTATTTTTTTATCAGTTGGATAATGAGAAATTTGCCATATTCTTCTTGCATTTCTCTTTGCTGCTATCAATCTTTTTATTTCGAGACTAATACTGGGAATTTTATAACTACTATTTTTGTTTGTAGTTGAAGATTTGACCGCATTTTCCATGATTTGTTTGAAATTGACGAGTTCATTGTCAATATCACTTGGAATTCGTAATTTGGCCTTTAAGTTAACTTTTTCTTCAATTATGTTTCTATAAAATTCCCAGTTTAGTTCAGGTCGAGCGTTCGACGGGTTAAGATCGAGGTAAAAATTAATACAAATAATATTAGATAACAAATAATAGACGTGGTATGAGTCACAGGCTCGGGCCTGCTGATTTACGGCTGCCGGCAAACAGCAACAATGGTGTAGTGAGCACAGAAGTCGAAACTGGAATTAAAATAAGTAATGCAGTGCAATTAATTAATAATACGGATTATACGGGGTATGATATTTCCGAAGGTATTGTTCATAGTAAAAATGAAATTCTAAGTGAGAACCATGTTGGAAAATTAGTTAATTCGAATAAAGTAAATAGCGTTCAAACGGATCTAAATGATAAAAATAGTGATAGTAAAAGTATTAAAAAAAGTGGTGTAGTTAGTAGTAATAAATCAGAAATAAGAAAAAATAGTAAAAAAATGGATAAAATAAATAAAATGAAATCTGAAAGGAATGCGTTAAATAAAGATGTAATTAAAAAAGTTATAGTGGAATTGAATGAAGAGGAAATAAAAGAAATAATAAATATTAATAAAAACAAAGCAAGTGAAAATTTTAAAGAAACAGTTAAAAATTGGTTTGATATGGTAATGGAAGAAGAAACTAGTGAGGCAGTTGGTGTAAATGAATCTCAGGAGAATAGTAATGA